TTATATGTTGACCATAACACGTTTTGGTTTTTTTTTTTTGTGTGTGTGTGTGTGTTTTGTAGTCATTATTAAACATACCTGAATGTTTATTATTTCTGATGCTATTAGTATTGATATCTTATTATTGTTCAGAAAAATTATAATTTACAAAGCAGTCATATTACTATAGTATGTAAATATAACTATTTAGCAAACTGTACATGCAATGAGAAATATGACTAGCCTGTAACTATGTTGTGCATAATAGTGGAATTAGCATAATGTATCACAATTATTAGGATACCATTAAGAATATGACTACTACGTGACTATGCTTGTAAATCATTAGAACATGATAGTGGGAACAACATACAGTATAAGGAAAGTTACTTTACAGAACCACATTTCTTCATAAAAACACCAGGACGAATGTGACTATTATATGACTATGTTTTGAATAACAGATGAATGGGAATATATCATCCCTCGCATTCAAGTTGCACCACTTGTCTGTCACAAATCCAACAAGGTCTTCATACGCAAAATCAGCTCGGCATATCTTCAACCCAAACGACCCTCCGTACTTCAGGACAACCATCAAGTTGGACGACATAATGTGCACCGCTGAAAAAAATGGAGAATTTGACTACTCTGACCTATAATTTTCATTGCAACTGCCTAAATATACTAAAAACAAACAAATATGACTACTCTGTAAGTTAAACTGCATTATAACTAAGAAATTTTATAATTCAATTGTATAAAATTAACAACCTCACAAATTACAGCAAAAAGGTCAAAAACTGCAGCAAAACAAAATATGTAATCACAAACATCCCAGTGCAATGTGGCTACTCTGTAAATCGATGTAAAAATGAAAGCAGATACAACACATAAAGACGAACCCATAACAATCGGATCGGAACAAAACAAACAATAACAAATTGCAAATCAAAACATCATAATCCATAATCTTGATTACAAAAAAAAAAAAACACTTCCCATTCACGGCTCACCTTTTTCCACGCAACTTTTCTTCAACACCAAGCACAGAGCGGTATATAGATGACGACTAGGCACTTCGATCTCGCCCAAAAATATACTTTACTGTATCTGCTGAAATCACGCTTGAAGATTATGCAGAGAAGATCACGTACCTCTACAAAAAAGGAAACGATTATATAAATATATTATTATTGAATATTTGATTTATTTTAAAAACTGATGTTAAGGGTAATTATGTCTTATCCTATCTTAATAAGGGGGTCTCACTAATTAAGATTGGGATACGGGTGTGGGAAAAAATCTAAAAAGTCAAATGGGCTTTTTACATAATATTTTCCATTTTAGGGGGGGATTGCATATTTCCCCATATTTTATATGCATATAAAAATACTCGAATATTCTTATTATCTCAATAATAAATTATATTTATTTTATCTATAAAAAAAAGAGTAAAAAGCAAACTGCCTCCTAAACTATGGCCCGTTTTGCACTTTGCCCCCCAACAAAAAAATTTACAGGTTTTTACCAGAACTCGTGTACGTCTGAAGTTCCGTCAATTTTGATCGGAATGTTAAAACACGTGCGTTGCACATGATATTTGCAGGGATGAATTTTTACATTCACATGTATTCTATATATTAACTATGAATTAATCATTGAAAAATTAAAAAAAAAAACAAAAAAAAAAAAAAGAAAAAAGAAAAAAGAAAAAAAAAAAAGAATGTATCATCGTCTTATTCCAGTCGCTCACCACCCTCCCAAATACATCCCATGGTTTCGTTTCTTTTTATTTTCTTATAATCATACATTATCAAAACATTTTTTCCCTAATCGTAAAAGTTCATGCCTTAACCTCTGATTTATGATTCTAAAAGCAAAGCCTTAATCCCCGATTTATGATTCTAAAAATCAAGCCCTAACCCCAGATTTGTTATTCTAAAATTCAATCTGTATTAGTATAATATAAAGAATTCCTGTATGATTCCATACTTTCCAGTCTTTATTGATCATGTCCTTTTATTTTTCAATGCAGATCCTTGTAAGAAACTATGAAAATTTAATGTTTATAATGTGATCTCAATAGGTTCTTCTAGTAGTAGGCCTCCATATGGATATAAGTTGGGATTTGAAGTTCATGTTAAGTGTCAAAATAGGTTTAAAAGAGGGATTTTAGGCTTCTGTTGTTTCAGTAATATATATGTGTAGCAAGAGCAAAGTTCTAAGGATTTTCATTTCAACAAGAAACATGGCAAGATGTTAGGTCCTGTTTGGATTGGAGGATTTCAAACGAATGGATTTGAAATACCATGGATTTAAAATACCTTGGATTTGAAATCCAAACAATTTAAAATCACCTATTTGGATACATGAAGATTTATACAAAGGATTTCAAATCAAATTCACTGTTTGGCAAAAGAGTAGTGGATTTAAATTCTTTAATTAGTTTTACAAATATTTTCATTTCATACAAATGTGATATTGCAATTATTGAACTTATGAGAAATATCAGTTAAATTTCATTAAATAATAACACTATCTAAAAATAAAAATAATATATATATATCTCGAGCGGGCATGGCCGGTTCGAGTCGAGTCAAGCCCATGGCTTCCCCTTCCCACTCCAATGCAACAGGCTCACCGGACCGGGGTGCAAATCACGGCAGAGGCCACAAAAGTTATCGCCGCCGAGTCCGTGCTGGTTCCACCGGTGATCAACCGGAGCTATGTTTCCGGCGAACACGAGCAAGAATGGTGGCAAAGAGCCCAGCTCGTAAATCCTCATCTTCTTCTGAAGCTCCATCCACTCGACAATCTTGGTGGTGTAATCTCCGGCCCTCCATCTCTGGAGATCGATCACCATAACTCCGGTGTTGAAGTCGCAAGGTTTTCTGTTGGCGAAGGTTAGAGAAAGAGAGAAGGGCTGGACCAGAACGTCGGCGTGAAGTAGGTGGTGAAGTTGGCATTGCAGTACTCAGGCGCCGCCAGCACGGCCCCGTTCGGGAGCGGCGTTGCCGCGACTTTCGCGATGTCGTCGACGAGGACGAGGTTGGAGTCGAGGTAGACTACCCGTCCAAGAGAGGGTCTATGGGCATCTCACCGCCGTCGAGCGCCGCCGTTGAAGAGGAATATTCCCTGCTAATTCCCTAGCTAGAAGATCAATAATTGAAAAAATCCCTAATTTTTTAAGGCTGCTGAGAGAAGTCACGATGGGTGGATTTCAAATGACTAGGTTTGTGGGAGGATTTGAAATCCATTAAAAAATGGGCTCAAATCCATCGATTTTTAGGTGTATTTGAAATCCACTTATTTAAGTTGTGGCCCAAACGACGTAATGGATTTGGACAGTGGATTTAAAATCCGTCCTAGCCCAAATCCGTCCTTCCAAACGGGCTCTTAGAGTTTATTTTAGGATTATGTGTATCCCTTATCTTGTTTATTTTTAGCATAAGGTATCGAATTGAGATTCTTGGTACCAGGTGGAAGCAAGAATAAGTTTCCCAATGATTATATTCCAACAATTGGTAGGCTCTTGAAGTACGTATGATTGGACCTTTTTATTGGTATGTTTTTTTTTCTTATCTTCTTACTTGTTTATTTTTTGCAGTAGGTATTGAATTGAGATTCTTGATGCTAGGTAAAAAAAGTGATGAATAATTTTTCCCTAGTACTATATTCAAATATTTGAAAAGGCACTTGGAGTACATCTCAATTAACCTTTTTCACTGGTATATTTTCTCTTTTCCGTCGTTCTTTCTAACTTATTATTGACTGCTCTTTCGCTCGTACTTTTTATTTTTTCTCTTGTTTTTTGTAACTTGTTTTCTCTTATAAATCATTAACTTTTGTCCGTTGTATATGCTTACTAGTTATTTATACTTGAAAAAAATAATTTTTGGAGAGAATAAAAAGGAAAATAATAATCGTTTGTTTGGTAATCTTGTTCATTTACCATTGGGTATCAATAAGGGCAACTAGAACCTTATGTTGTGTTCTGTTTGCTCGACTAATAAGAGTTGATCACTATTATTTCGTTGTTACTTGGATGGATCAAAGTGCGCAAGTTGATACTTACATTTACGGATACTCTACTTTATGCTTCTTTATAGAGTTGGATTCAAATAGGTATATTAATCTTAATCATTCCATACAGATCAAATTCTTTGTTGTTATTCTTAGTTTTTGTATTGATATGTTTCAAATTTTTCTCTTGTTTGCGGTACTTAATAATGAGAAGTACAATTACAATCATGTTCTTTTTCTAGATGTTTGTTATTCTTTTTCTATTGATCTTGTAACTTTGTTTTTATTATTTAATGGATATTTTTGTACCTGCAGGTTGCTTATGTCGTGGCTCTGAATGATAAGTTTCATTGGTGATGGGAGCTGACTCATGTTGTTTACAATATGAAGGGAGCTGACTCATGTTTTTTTTTTTTTTTTTTTTTTTTAATTTTCAAGTGTTAGAGTTTTAGAATATTAATTAATCAGGATATTTCACATTTTATAGTGTAGGACTGATTCCATCATGTTGCCTAGTTTGAAAGATTATTTGTAGTAGTATGACTTTATTGACAAAATACATTTAAATTTTGATTAATCACTACACCATAAAACACTATCCATAGCGTTTGAAAAACGCTATCATATGCTATTATAGCGTTTTTACAAACGCTATGTCTGCCGGAGCTATAATAGGTCCGGGTTCTTCTATAGCGTTTTAGTAACGCTATGATATATTCTCAATTATATAGCATTTTAGAAACGCTATTGAATAGTCTCATTTATACAGCGGTTTGGAAAAGCTATCTTTTAATTTTATTTCATAGCATTTGTTTTACGCTATTATCATGTCTTTCAGATCGTTTAATTTTACAATTGTTTAACCTATAATTTCACCTCATAAATGTTATGTTACGTTAAAGTATTTTATAGCACTCCATATCTGCAATGTACTCATTATTTTAAGGATGAATGTATGCGATATTAGATAACCTTTTTCAACACGATAACAAGGATGAATATATAAAAAAATTATATACTCAAAATGATATGTATTACGACAAAAAGATGATCCATAAATATCTATTTGAATTTCGAGCAAGACAATGTCTTACCATTTTTCGACACGATTCATAAGGTTAAAAAATTCCTAAACTTGAAAAGTAAAGACGAATGAAATAACTCCAGAAACAACTTAATATGCGACAATTAAATATGATCATCCAGCTGAGACCGTCACATCGTTTTTCATTCCTCTGCTTCCTCGATTTCCTGTTAAAGAAAACCATAAATCCTAGTTAATAATATTTAACTGATTCATGATAAATTATCATAAGCTACTTAATTATTAAATTTATGAACTCAAACTACTATTACAAGTCATCACTGGGAAAAACCGGTAAAAAAAATACCTTCCTCCTTATTCATTTCTTATGAATACATTTCTCTCTCGTTTGAGTAGTCTACTGCAATATGTGGATGGTCACCTGTAGATTAACTTATAAGGTGAGTTTCGACAACCAAATCAACAAAATTCTTGGGAAGCAATACCAATAATCTGTTCAAGTTAAATAACCAAGACCTATAAGATAAACAGTTATACATTCCATGCAAGGCAACATTTAACACTTAATACATAATATTCAACCACATAATTACTATTACCTGGCAACATTTAACACTTAATCCATCACACCATTGATATGTGTTGTTCCCGATACATAAAACGGGTAGTGAATTTAGTAAATTAGTTGAATAAATTAATTAGTGAAAATACGGAAAGATTAGCCGAGGCGAGTTGACTCTGTCCTTAAGACGAAATTTCCCCGCAACGGTGCTAACGGATTAAATGGAAATCGTCTCCCAAGATACAACGGCTAAACTTGGAATAGGAGCACTCCAAATCCCAAGTACGACGAACTGTACTTTGTGTAGAACTTTTCGAGAGAATCTGTGAAGGGTAGGCTTAATATGTAGTAGGCTTGTTTTTTGGATTGAAGTGAGGAATTTTGGGAAAGTTATGGTCTATTTATAAGGTTCGAAAAGTAGTGTCCTTTGGAGCAAAAAGGTATCTTTGGTTTGAATGGTTGCACCATTTCGAGTTGAGCCAATTGGGAGTGGTTGCACCATTTCGAGTTGAGCCGAATGGTTTGCATTGGTTCGGCCGCACCAATTCAGACCAGTCAGACTAATCGAGATGGGCTTCGAGTAATAAGGGCCCAATGGGTTAAAAGCCCATGACCTAATGTTTTTGGCCCGTCCCAATATTTTGATATATATACAGCTCAGTACTTCTCTACTTTTCCAATGTGGGATAACTCAAAATCCCACTTTCCTTATATTTTGGACTAGTAATTTTTTTTTCATTCACCACAAAATTGGTTCTAATCCAAAATTCATTATATACTCAATTAGACCGTACAATAACATTGATAAAAAATTGTTCATGACTCAATTTTTAACCAATTTTCCCAACAATATGTACAACCAGGAAGGAGGATTGAGGGAATGAATCAAGTACCGCAAAATGTTGTTTGGCTTACCACCACGCCAAATATACTGGTTGTTAAATACTACTTGAGAAAACATAACAAACAATATGGTATTAGTCTAGATAACCAAAGAGTGTCTCGATATCAATTTATTGGTATCCAAAACCAAATACTGGCAAGATGAAATAAAGTAAGTTTTCATGTATGATGAGGTATACTTCAATCAAGAATATATAGCTAAAAGAATCATTCATGTTTTCATCCATTATTAGCATGGATAAATCATAAAACTATACCCTCGAATGAATAGAATTATCATATTCTAGTTTGTACATAATCTATATATTACATTTGAAAGTATAAATCCAACCATAGACTTTCACATCCTTAAGAATTATAATAAGAATTAAGAAGTACAATGTAATATAATCTTTATATCAGAACTCTACATGTTGGACTAATTTCCTATCCTTCAAGAAATGCAGGCAAAAAATTATATTTATTTAAATGGTACCAGAGAGGACAAAGAACAAAAACTGTATATTTCAAAATCTCATTAAATGAACATACTAATCCTGAACTTCAGCATATTATGTAGAACTAGACAAATTCGAATAAAAATAAACAATATAGTACTGGGATTACAAAATGTACAAAATAACTAAACAAATAACAAATGGATCATCATGTATATATATAAAAAACAATCAATTATGATACAAACACAAGAACGGCCAAACAACAAAACATAATTTATCCATATAAAAAATATGTAGAAACAATACCACATTACGAAAGGATTAAGACAACATCTATCATCCTTTATAAGTATAACTCACCTCATTCTTTTGCCAGAGTAATGTTCTAGGATCAAAGAATAATAACCCAAATAAGCCGTGACAAAAAGAGAAAATATAATTAAAACCCATACAAGAGCAATTTCTTCAAAAACATTCACACTTGGCTGCTGTAACATAAAACATAAAATAGATCAATGGAAAAATCTAAGAGAATTTCTGAAAAGCATCAATTACCGAGTAGCGAAGGAAATAGGCTTCTTATCTGTCCGTGATTTTGCCCAGTCCGTAATGGGATTTCGTTCTGATGGCATAAACCATATTTAGAGATCATCGAGCCTAAAATCAACAATCAGACGGTGTCGTTTGACCGCGACGCGATTTCTCATCAAGGAATTGGAGAAAACCCCAGATTGGAGAGGGCTTTTGAGAGGTTGCCGGTGGTGATAGTGGGGTGTATTGCTCCACTATGGTTGCCGGTGGTGATAGTGGGGTTTATAGTGGCAGTATAAATGTGAATAAACTCTTAGGAATTTGGTCGTGGTTAGGTTTTTATTTTTGAGAAATTAAGTCAAATATATTCCCGTATAATGTAGATATATTCGATAGCGTTTTATAAGCATCATAATTAGTTAGTAGAGACGGAAAATAAACTACCATAGCACTTCCGCAGAAAACGCTATACCACTATGCTATTAAAAACCAAATTTGTTGTAGTGAATGATGATTGCAAATTTTGTTATGTTTTGGCTTGTTATTTAAATTTATGTTTCGTATATAATATTAAATTATAATTATAATAGCTGGATAATTTTTTTTTATCAAATACATATATAAATGTCCCAATAATAGATTTTAGAGGATATATACTTATGTCTCGAAAACAATATGTTGGGACACATATAAGTGACTTAAAAATATAAATTTATAGAGGCATGCGCCAAATGCCCCAAAGGCTATTGTAACACACAACTACGCGACATCTATTTTATTTGCCCCTAAAAGTACAAATGTCCTGAAATGGTATATATTGGGATATTTTTTTTGTGTCTAAAAAGATGATTCTGCCCCTGCCACCGATTTTCTCTGCCTCCATTCCTGACCTGTTTTCTTGACGTTTTCTTTTACAGGTTTGATCCACGACTGTGAAAATTTTGGCCCAATTGTTTCGGGGAAAATTTTGGGGGATTTCGGTAAATTTTTTGGGCTTTTTTTGATGGTAGTGAAACCGTGGGTGTGTCTTTAATGGCTTGATTTTGTAGTTGTTGAAGAGTTTGTCGGCGGGCAACGAGCTTCTCTCCAATTGGCGACTGAAATAGAAGGGAAATCGGCGTCGTAGAGTTCTTGCTCAATGTTCCCTGTAATTGGATGAGGCGCCAAAGCTTATTGTTGCTTTGGATGTTCCTGGTTATTCTTCCCCGCGCCGCCGTGGAAGTAGTTATAGAAGGCGGAGATACGGGTAGGGTTGGAGGAGGCTGTGGTGAGTTTCTTCGATGAACCCTAATAATAGCTCCTTGGAGGTGGTTTGTCTTTTGAGATGGGTTTTTTAAATTCTTTTTGAAGAACTCTCTTAGCTATTGCAAAGGCCTCTGCTCCCAAGATTTTGGAGGGGTTGAATTTGCTGTGTGAATAATATCTTTAGCGTGTGTTTGGGGAATGTCCAGATGATTTATGGTTAGTTTCGCTTGTTGAAATTTGTTTTTCCTAGAAATTGGTGCACAAAGGGCTTTGGAGATGGAAAGAAGTAGCCATGATTGAACAACCAGGAAGTTGGGGAAGAAGACCAAAATGGAGGAGAGAAGAAAAAATTGGAATCTCACATGAATAACACTAAAAAGATAAATTTGCCCCTCCAAATCTCACGTGAATGTCACGTGCGTGAGATTCCGATGACATTTGCCGGAAAATACCATTTTTAGGGCACTGTGCAAAAAAAAAACGAATTTAGGTAAGAACGTGCAAAAAATTGAGGGACAAAGTGCAAAATGGGTCATAGTTTATAGGGCAAACTGCTTTTTACTCTAAAAAATTATATGTATTTTATAACCTTTATTTTATATTAATATATAATTTTATATTTATTGTAAATACATATCCACATAATTACCCGTGGACTAAGTATTAAAGACTATGTGTCTCTTTCTTATTAATATTAGGATGACAATGCTTTGTATAAATTGTTGTATAAATAGAAGCACTAATACACATAAGGGTCCAAAAACCCGATTCACGTAATACATTTTCCATGTTAACAAATATATATTAGTTACAACCAACATACCATAAGGCAAATGCATACATATGTTATAGGCTCCAACCGCATACGTTGATCTATACTTTCTTACAAGTTAATATTTTATTTAATTAATTTTTTTTTTTCTAAGTAATCATTAACCCTCAAATGAATTTTATGTTTGTAACATTTTTTAATAAGTGGGAACTTAATTGCCGTATTTGAAGTACAAAAATGTGTCAATTGCATAGAAATTGTATATTGAGTAGAAAGTATTGATGAGTGAAATTATAGATAGAAGTTGTGCATATCTCCATCCAACATACCATTTGATATTCTCAATATACATATTTGTACAGATTGTGACCCATGAACTCATAATCTGGCTGAATATGATTAGTTAAAGGTCCCAAAAATCGATTCGCTGTAATAGGTTTACCCATGCTGCATACATATTATTTACAACTGTCATGTCATAAGGCAAACGGCCACATACTTTATAAGCATAAATTGCATACGTTAACATGTATTGTCTCGCACGTTAATGCTTTAATTATTTTGAAACGTGTTATTTCCACCCTCAAAATATCTTATTTCACCACCAAATTAAATATATTTTTCATTTTGCCAATTTCTTTATTTTTCACCTATATTTTTTTACAAATTTATAAGCCGTCTACCAATGAATTAATTAAAATATTTATAAGAATCCCACCATTTTCAGTGGAAATCTCACCCTCACCACCTTAAGTGAATAATATTTTCGTCAGAGAAAAACATTTTCAAATGTCAAAAAGAACAGCAATTCACGTTTTTTGAGAAATAAATTAAGAATGTTTGTATGGAAGGTCCTGAACTTACTCCGAAATTGGCCAGTTTGACTAAATATAATTTCGTTTCCTAAAAAATACATAAATTGTAGGTCATCTGATATGGAAGTTTTAATATTTTGTAATAAACATTTCATTGCAAAAAATAAAAATAAAATAAAACAAAATAAAATAAAATAAAAAAATAAAAAAAAATAAAATAACTTAGAACACATAATGATTAAGAGAATATAAAAAATGGTGCTGGATTATAAATTTAAGGGGTATTTATGACATTTTATAATCTTTAATGGTGAATTGAGATACTTTGGAGATGGAAATAGCACCACTCATTATTTTAATTAATTTAGTTTTTAATTTTCTAAATAATCATTAACCATCTAGTGGATCTTAAACATGTTTTGAACATTTTTGGACCAGTGGAAACTGATAATATGTGAGAATATAATCATTTAACGGTCTAAAAATCCGATTCGCGGTAATACGTTTACCTATAGTAACACACATATTACTTACAAGTTACAACCATCATATCATAATTACAAGGTGTACTTACTTTATGGCCCCAATCGCATGCATTAACTTATATTGTCTCGTAAGTTAATGCTTTAATTATTTTAATTAATTATGTTTTTAATTGTTATGGATAGAAAGTTACGTTAAAAAAAAAAATTCTTAACTAAGCAATATCCAATTAGCCATATTAATAATAAAGATCATGCATGCATGACTATTAATCTTATTGCAATAAGAAAAACAATAAAATTCAGACAGTTTTGGTACATCGAATTCAAATATTCATTTATATGAAACCCGCTGTGAAAAAATCTTGAATTTTTTTACCACGTACTCTAATTGAGTTTAAATTACTCATCTAAAACAGTTTGCAAAGATATGTAGCCAATTAAGAAAAATAACTAAAGTGGTGCAGTAACACAGTTTAAAATACAGACAGGGGAAGGGACTTTGAAAATATCTTATAAATTTTCTACTAAATAAAATATCACTAAATTGTATTGCAAACAATTACAGTAAGTTAGGCTTTTATTCCAAGTAAATTACAACAATTACTACAATGACTCTATTTTGGTACAATTGCAAAAAATAATTCATTGTAATTCATTACTGATCCAAATCATGCATATGACCTAGGGGGGATGACCAGAAAATAGAGGTACATCATGTCGTAACATTTCATAATTTTCTAAGCATATAATTAATACATAAAATATACTTTTAAATGTAAGGGCAGAACATAATGAAATACCATTCGGAAAACATTTATAGATAAGTTTGTAAAATTTGCTTCCGGTTACATATGAGCTTACGAGTTACCTAATCATTACTTACTTTCATACAAAGTATAACCTTTTTTTCTTAAAAAAAAGTAGAGCAACCCCATTGTCAGCAGTGAACTTGCATCGAAATCTGAGTGTGGGTTCTTTAATCCGACGAGGTAAATTTGAGGCCTATTGGATACTCTCACTTTTATAAGTGGAAATGAGGTGTAATTGGAATTCTTATCTAAAGTTAGGGACAATCCAGACATTTCACGAGGGATAAGGAGCTATCTGTAAGTGAAACTTAAAAGGGGGGAGTGCAGAGTTGAAAGTAAATTAAATGGGACGGAATCGTATTTAAAACTATCCCATATGTATTTTTTAATAAGGGGGCAACTATTTCAAATCCCAACTTTTGCTTACTTGAATACTACCAAGTTGAAAACCACAATTGAGTACATATTTATAAGTTTTTTTCTTACTTTAATACCAAAATAAAAAGAAAAGTACAAAAACACCCTTTCATACAAAATATCAATTATATCAATTTTTTTTTGAAATTACCTATTTGAAAACCAAAAAAAAAAAAAAAAAAAAAAAATATTTCATTCCACCGCTCCAACCCTCCCTTGCCGCCGGACGTCACCGCCGCTCCAACCCTCGCCGCCGCCAAACACCACCGAACGTCGCCGCCGCTGAATCCATTGTTATCAAGTCGCCGCCGTCTTCGAATACAAGTAATATTTGTTTTCGATTTTTTTTTCTTTAATATTTATTTAGGATTTGATTGTTTGATATGGGTAATTAGGATTTGGTTGTTTTAGGTAGGAATGATCGTTAATTAGTAATGGGTGCATCTGATTTCAGTCGATTTGAGCATTTGATTTGAGATTCGTGGGTCGGTTCTTCATTCACAATTTTCGACCTGTATATGTCGATTTTTTCGAATTTTTC